AAATTGAGTCGAGTTTAAAATTTATATAACTCGAATCAAATCAAATTGAAAGATTTTATAAAATAAATTTGACTCGATACAACTTGAAAAAAAGAGAGTTAAATCGAGTTGATCTTTAAACTTAACTCAACTCAACTCATTCAAAACTCTACAAATAGTATCGAACCTGCTGAACTATTTTCACTTAGAAGTAAAAGACGATTAATTTTAACCAAAGTTCTCAAATTTCCTTGTGAAATCAAAAAGTGTAACTTATTTAATAAAGTTACAAAAAAAATTATTTCTATATGAATATTAATTCAGTTAATATAAAACATTAGATATAAATAGTATCGAATCTGTTGAACAACTTTTACTTAGAGATGAAAGGTGATTGATTTTGATCAAAGTGCTTAAATTTCATCATGAAATCACTGTATTAATATTTATAAAAAAATATATAAAAATTAAAATTTATTAAAAAAAGTATATTTAATAAGATTTCTTACAAGTTCAAGTATTTAAGTTTAAAAAAATAATTTTTTTTAAAGATTATGTTAAAAAAAATAAAAGTTTTTTTTTATTAAAAAAAAAAAAAAAAAAAAAAATATACGAATAATAATACAATTATAGATCGTTTATTTATATAATGTAAAATAAAAATATATATTAACTAAAATTAGAAAAAACTAGATTAAAATCAGTCTGAATATTTTTATATTAAAAAAAATATACATATTCTGGATATAAATTTTAATACATAATCCAAATATTTTCTGTATTAGAAAAATAGACAAATAATTTTAATACAAACTCTGAATATATTCTATATTAGAAAAAAAGATTAAATTTCTTTCTGTATATATTCTGAATATTTTTAAATATTTGAATAAGTCTAAACAGCAAGCTTGATTATTTTTTAGGACAAATAATAGTTATTTTCTAGACATTCTTTGATATACCTGAATGAATTCAGGATATTTTTGATAATATTTTCTGGATATTTATTTTTTATAGGGCTGGTAAGAATAACAGAAATATGGATAATGAATACATATAGACAACTATAGATGGTAAATAGTTCAGGATTTAGCCAGCTATGCTATAGCTACAACAACCTTTATAAAAATGGCTTATTTTTAGCCAGGTTTTGGAGATTGATAGTTAGTTTTAATCAACAGTCTTTTAGAAAATTTGAAGAGAATTAGAAAATTATTCTCTAATAAAAACAAACTTTATTTATAATTATTTTTACTTATATTTTTTAATGAATCAACAGTTGAGGATGAATTTAATAAACTAAAAGGAATAATATTCAAAGGGTGGACAAAGGTTTCCAGACACCTTTATAAATACAATTTAACAAATTTTTATTATATAATTGTGATACTATACTGCAGTTATATGAATGTTTATTATTTATTTATATAATCAAAATAAAAAATCATGTTATTTTTGTTATTTTGACTTAATTTATTTAATCTCTACCAAATCAAAAAATAATGGGACAAAATAAAAAATTAACCAAAGAACAATATAGAGTCATATTTTACTTGAACAGCCTAATATCTTAATTTTAACCCAATTGAAAATTTATGGGTTGATATTAAAAAAATATTCGTGCATATAAAAAATTACCATTGAATCTTACTAATCTCAACTGATATGTTAAAAAGATATAGTGAGAAATTCTAATGCATATTATTAAAAATTTAGTCAATAGCATATCACAGCGAATTCAGACTATGATTATAGTAAAGGAAGATTCAACCAAAAACTAAAGTTTAATATGAAATATATGCCTTAATTAGCTCTAAATAAATAATATTAGATCTTTACTATTAATGCTAAAGAATTATAAGTTTTATATTTGGTGAAAAAGTATTCAGAAACTTTTATCCACCCTCTATAGTTCACTTTAATTCTAAATAAGCTTATTAACTTGCATCTTACTGTTTGATATCTTTAGAGATTATTAAGTTTTATGAGTAATTAAATCAAGCAAATAAACCAAGTGTAATATTGTATATCAATGTTTAATTTATATATATTTTTTTTTATGAAAATCAATTTATTTTTTCATTAAACTTATAAAACGTCATTTTTTAGTCTATTTATTATATTGTATATTAACGAATACTTTAGTATAGTTTATTATTTATATATATATACATAGTATTTTCTCATGCAAATTAACATATTTTTTCATTAAACTTATAAATGTTAACTTTTGTATAATCAATATTGTATTACCACACATTATTTATTATATTATATATCAATAAATACTATAGTATAATTTATTTATTTATATATATTTATATATATATATAGTTTTTTTATATAAACTAATATATTTTTCCTTTAAACTTATAAATATTAACTTTGTATCACTACATATTTATATTGTATATTAACAAATACTTTATATATATATAGTTTTTTTTTGTAAAACTTTTTTTTTATTTTTAATCGAAACAACATTTTTTTTATTTTTTAAAGAAAAAACTTTTTATTTAAAATATAGGTTATAAAATTCTATTAATCAATGAATTTTAACTTAATAATAGTTTGATCCAACTATAAAATATTTAAGAAGAACAGCTCATACTTATATAAATACTCTAAAGTTACATATTAATATTTTCACTACTAAAGGATAGCATAATAGAAGCAGATTACCCATAATATTAAATATAGTTATAAATGAAAATATTGGCAATATATATATTTTTAATGAATAAGATTTACATTTTCAATTGATGAAAAAGATGAAAACTTGCTAATCAATATATCAAAATCTTAATTGATAAAGAATATGATGAGAAAAATAAAGGCTCAATCAATAAGGAATATGATAAGGAAAGTGAAGGTCTGATCAATAAGGAATATAATAAGAAAAATGAAGGCTTAATTAATGAGGATGATGAGAAATATGACAAGGAAAATGCTAGTAAGTTAATGATTATAGCTTATTATTTTTTAATTAAACATTCTAATTAATTTTATTTTAAGATTTTTTATATAAACTATTACTTGATTTTACAGTAGATCCATTAAACATACAAAGTGATGATATATTAAAAGAGAAATTTTCTGATTTTGAAGGGTTTGATGATGAATATAGTCCATATTTTTCAAACTTTACATCAGCCATAATGTTTTTTTAGATTACCAAGCATATAATATATAAGTATTTGTATTAATATTATTACATTATATACAATATTGACATAATATTTTTTTTTACATAATAACATCTGCATATAGAGACCTTACTAAAATTCTGAAATATTCTAAGTTTTGTAAAGATAATATTATTATGAATATTTAGCATATTCATAAATGAAGAAATAGGCTACCTTTAGTTAGAATACATAAATATAATATACTGATTTATAAATAAAAAACTCTATCTACATCAGAATCTATTAAGAAAGCATTTACTATTTCTCCATTAATGCATTTGAAACATGTACTAAATAATCCATCATTCATGCTAAAGATGTACTTCAGACCAGGAATAATTGCAAAAGAGAAACATAAGTTTTAGCATGATGATTTATGGTAAAATTCACTATTATTTGGAAAACATAAAATAAGGTATAATAATAAAGGTGAATAATATTTTTATAGTGAAATAACTTATCTTTTATTAATAATCTATAGTACTGGTAATTTCCTAATTTATCATTAACAAGCATTAATATTTATTTGTCAAGTATGTAATATAGTAATCGATAAAATGATGAGACGTATTAAAAAAAAGTTAATATAATTTTAACTTATCAGAACCTTCCTAATTATCATTCTAGTGATAGTTAACATAGTTGTAAAAATAATAAGGAATTATAGCTTGTTAAAGAAAAATGAAATTGATTAACTTGAAATATATAGACTGTCATATTATTGTATAACTATACGACCTACTAAAACCTGTAAAATATAAATTCTATATTTAGAAAATATTATATAATTTTAATAATCGATATAAGTATTGTGATATATCAAAAAGATATTAATTACCTTATAAATATATTATATCTAATCTATCACTGCAAAATATCCTATTATAAAAGTTTTTCTTGATATTTATATTGATGATTTTGATACTTACAGAAATATGTATCATTCTTTAGAGAGTATGTATTTGCAATTTGGAAACATGCTATTGTCTTTTCAAAAATTACTCAAGAATAGTTTTTAATTGGCTTTGTTCCATTTGGAGTAAATTTTGATGACTTTATTAAACCAGTAATCAAAAATATATGGTATATAGAAAATAGTCTCATTATAAAAACACTATATGAAAATGCTTAGGTTATTGGAAGTCTTAGTTATGTAACTGCTAATCTATTATAAAGTGATGACTTAGCAGGTGTAAAATAATATGAAGCAACTCATAGTTATCAAATATATAATGTTGCAAGCAACTAACTTAATAACCCATATTATGATTATATAAGAAATTCACATTTTCATCAAATACTGAAAAACAATTTTTAGAGATTAAAAGTCAATGCATAAAATTGCTAAAGAATAATAGCTACTGAATATAGATTGGTTATATCTTAAAGACCTTTTAATGTACTTAATGGGATTTGATATATCCAAATACTACAAGATGTATATCATTCTATGACTAGAAAGTACATATTCTATTAAAAGCAACATTTCATATACTTAATACAAATAGAAAAAAAGACTTTATAGAATATTAGAAAAATATTAAAAAGCTGATTAATTGGAATTAAATGCCAAATCCATTGTAATATCACAAAAGTTTCATGTTCTCTGATGTATTAAGATTTGTAATATTAATTCTATTTACAATTAGACATTTCTTAAAATCTTGTCACATAAAAGCAGAGGTTTTAAATAAATGACATACAGACTATAGAATAACATAAACTACATCTATATTTCAATTGTGTATAGTTTAGTCTATTGAAGCTAATGTATTAAAGATTGTATTTTCAACTACTATGACAGAAAGTATTTATCAAGAATTAATCAAATTACTTGAAAGTAAGAGTGAAATTCTTATACAAGTAAGTTTTATATAATAATTTAAAATTCTTAGTTTTTTACAAAATTAATTAATATATATATTTTATAGTTATTTTCAGAAAATTTTAACAATTTATCCAATTTGCATGTAAATATTTACCTTTCATAATATACTCGTAATTTTAGAGCTTATTTAAATACTGCTGTAGATATAAAAAAATAATTCATCGCATATTCAAGAACATAGTACTATATATAAACCACAAAATTATCAAATTAGATCTTACTTAAAGATATAATATAATACAAGTATTAAGACATATTATTAATAGTTAGACAGATCCTCATTTAATATTAGCACAAATACTTTTAACAGCTTGATTACAGATTTAAACCTTTATACAATATTATCAGGATGGTATGCTACAGAAAATTCATTTATATTTATGGATAATCAAGAAATTGAAAATAAAACTTATGGTAAGATCCTTTATTTATTAATAAATAAATTATTATTAATTATAAATTTATATTATTAATTTATAGAAGGTAGATAAAAGTATCTGTACATCCTTCATAATGTAAATTAATACTAGTAAAGTTATATAATCACAATAACAAATGGTTATTACATAGGAAAACCAGGATTTGAAATGATTTTCAAAATTTGAGTAAATTCAAAAAAAAATTATGTTACACAATTTTTTTGATTTATTTTTAGATGAGGAGATAATAAAGATCACAAAATTTTACATACGAAAACTATATTCTGAAATAATATTACACAATTATAATAAAATATTTTCTTGCGTTTTAAATCTCTAAAAATTGACTTTAGTTATTAAATTTAGAAAAAAAATTAACATAATAGAAAAATTTTACGTGAAATTTGATCATATTAATATTTTTTTTTACAAGTTTCTTTACATTTTATCAAACATAATGTCTTTATCATAAATAAATAAAATAATAATAATTTATATAGATAAAAATACCAATTTTGATAAAAAATTTCACAGCATGATTTTTGTACATACTAATCCAAATTATGTTTACATGACACTTAAGTATTTATTTATATTATAAAAATAAAAAGAATAATAATTTATTTTTTTTTAATAAATTTTTCTTTTCCAAAAATCTAAAAAAAAATAGTAAAAACTAAAGAATTAACTGCAATAATTTTTTAAGCAAAAAACAATCTTCATACATTATCTTAGCTAGCTCAAAGTCCTAATCTTAATCCAATTAAGAATCTTTAGGCTAAAGTCAAGAAAAGCATCTGAGCTTATAAAAACCTCTATCTAATTTGACTGATATGTCAAAAAGGCTTGACAAGAAATTTCGAAGCATACTATTAAAACCTAGTCGATAGTATACCACAATGAATTCAAGCTGTAATTGCAGCAAATATTAGCACAACTAAATACTAGTTACTTAGTACAAAATGTAGAACTTAATTGGCTTTAAATAAAATATTAATTAACTGTTTATTATTAATACAAAAAAATTATAAGTTTTATATTGAGTGAAAAAGTGTGCAGATACTTTTGTTTACTTTCTGTATAATATTTTTTTAATAGATATCAAAATTACTATATGTCAAGATAAAAACTTTATTGACATTTATTTGATAATCAATAGAATATTAAAAAAATTAAAAGAATGGGCTTATTAAAGAAATAAGATGATAAACATCTATTCTTTCAAGATCTTTCTAAATCATATTTAAAGTATTTTGAATTAAAAACTGCTTTATTAAACAAAAAATTGGATTTTTATGATTCTATTATATATACTATTTTTAGAGATGAACAAGAACCTATCTAATTAAAGTTACATGTTAGTTATATTATAGAATTGTCTAAAGATATTGCTTATGCTAAAATTGGTTTAATTTTTCGTTATTAAGCAGGTAATAATTACTATTATATGTTTTTTTATTTGATTAGTTTTAAGTAACAAATATTATTGATCCTATATTAAAATATATATTTTATAATATTCAAAAGCCTAAAGATTTATAATTATTATACATTTTTTTAATCAATTTTATTAATCATGTTTCATATATACATTTTATATATAAATATGAAAGCATATATAATATCAAACATAATGAAACAAACTGATGTTATATTTTTAACAAATTTTATTATAATATTATATAGTAATTATAATATTCAGACTATATAACAATTTAAAATAAACATACGTTAAAAAGATTTTTACTATATTTTAAAATATTTTAAATATGTATTAAACAGATTTTTGTTATATTTATTTAATAAATATTTTTAATATATGTTAAACAAATTGATACTATATTAAATTAAAATATTTTAACATATTTTTGATAGATTATGATCAGCAAGTTATAAGTAATTTAATAGAATCAATATATAATATGCTTATCAGATCTTAAAAATATTTTTAACATATTTAACAAAAATTGAAGTTTCTATATTATAGTATGATATATAAAAGCTAAATTGTTGGCTCCTCTCTAAATACAACTCATTCTCTTATCTTGTTTTCATTAAAGGCATTGTACTTACTACCTATTTACTTATCTATTTAACTTCATTCACAGTAAATTTTTGAATATAACTACAGCCTTAGCTGCCTATTCTTCCTTCATAAATTTTATATTTAAAGAAACTCACACCTTTTAAATTGAACAATGTATTCTTCAATCTAATATTAAAAAAGCTAAAACCTTAATTTTAAACATAAAAATGAGAATTTTGTTTTTTCTAATTATGAATTCTCTAATTATACTCTTAATAACCTTAACTCTGATCTAATTTCTACTATAATGTAATTTGGATCTTATTAAACAAATTTTTGATGTAATAGTGACTAAACCTTCTTCTACTATCTTTCTTTTATTTTCTCAAAAGTGAAATTTTTAACTTAAGTTAGATTTGATTTAAAGAGAATATGGTCAGTTTTCTTTAAATTAATTTTTTTTTCTTTATGAGATTTTCATTTTTTCTTCTTAATATGTATTTTTATTTTTATAATTTTACTTTTAATATTAAAGATAATGTAGAACTACCCACTTTAAAAAAATTATTTATTTTAATGGATTAGTAAACCTAATTCAGTTGACAAAAATTAAGCTTCTATTGTAAATTATACTGCAATAGCTATAGGTTTAAGTTTCAGTTAAGACAAAAAACTGAATGATTTTCTTAAAAATTTTGAATATGTGAGTGTATATACTAATATACATTTGTAATTAGTCAATTGATCTGTTAATTGATATTGATCATGCCTAAATACTAAATTCTAAAAAAAAATAGATGCAAATAAAGCCAAAGATCAATAGAAACTAAGCTTTCACTGATAGATCTATAATAGATACTGTTTCACATCTTTAAACTTAGGGGCTTTTATATAGTAGCTACCAAAAGAAACACAAGTGTGATTGGTTACCTTTGAACAGTTATAACTCATCAACCACAAATGTTAAAAACATAATCTTATACTTGTTTTAAAGCCCAAATCTTGAAGGATATCCTGGTGAAATCTAGTATCAAGTTAATAATTCCAATTTCATGTAACTTAGCGATCTACATCAAAATTTATTATATAGTAAAGTTCAGGTATAAAAAAATTTTTTAAGCATACTAGCTACTACAAAACTAACACTAGATTCTGATTCTCCTCAGTGCAGCGATTCTAATAAGCTAAATTTCGTAGGAATCAAACTAGCCGATCAGGAGTTATTACGCAGCAAAGATTAGTAAATCATTATATAAAAGGGTTCAGCTACTTTTTATTTAATAATTTGCTAATCTTTGTTGCATAATAATTTCTGATTAGCTGGTCTGATTCACACAATATTTAGCTTATCAGAATCGCTGCACTAAGAAGAATCAGAATCCAATATCAATTTTATGGTAGCTAATATGCTTAAAAATTTTTCTATATCTGAACTTTACTATATAATAAATTTTGATGTAGATCGTTAAGTTACATGAAATTAGAATTATTAACTTGATACTAGACTTTGCCAGGATATCCTTCAAGATTTGGGCTTAAAACAAGTATAAGATCATATTTTTAGCATTTGTGATTGATAAGTTATAGCCGTTCAAAGGTAATCAATCACACTTGCATTTTTTTTGGTAGCCACTGTATAAGTAAAAAAGTGGATAACTAGTAATTAGTAGATTAAGTACTTCAAAAAGAGGTTATAATGATAATAGACTGCATTGCATTGATGCAGTATTATCAATTAAGCTGTCATTAAGAGTAGTATGAATAGATAAATGTGATACAGCTCATGTAATGCAGAAGATCGACCAATTTAACATAACTGACATATATGATATGTCAGACATATGTGACATATGTAACATAGTTAACATAGTTGATATAGTTGATATATTAGACATGTTAGTTATATTTTTCTATGTATTTTATTTTATATAAATAAGTAGCTTTTTAGTTCATGTAAAAGGAGAGACAGATAGGAATTTGGCAAGATAATTTTAGTAGTTTTAGAGACAACTGGCCTATCATGTCACCTTTTAGTTTAGTATTTTATTTCGTTTCTTTTCTTTATTTATTTACTTTTATTTTCTTTACTTTTTTTTATTCCTTTTCTTTTTATTATTATTTTACTCGTAAATAAACATAATATTTATAAATATATATTATTGGCAAACTGTTGAACTGTAACTTGTTGTAATAATATAAATACTTTGATAGATCATCTGAGTTAAGCTTATAAATTGTTGAAAGATTACTGCTCAATTAAAAAAAATAAACCACTTGAATACCTCATCTAATAATCGTAATTCGTAAGAATTACACGTTAACAATAAAGGTCAAGTTCAATTTTCAGATAACTTTAATGATATAGGTATGACAGCTATCTACCTTTATGAGATTCTATAATGATGATTACATTCAAGCCTTTTCAATCATATGTAATATATACTCTAATACTAAACAGAAGTAATAGTGATTCTGATTAGTATTAGTAATTGCAAGGAAAAATTAATATAAGTATCTGTGGCTAAAAGTGATCTTTCTATTCAAATTTGACAGTAGTTCTGAGGTTCTAGATTCTCTGATTTTACGGTTAAGAAGATATTGATCTAGGTGATAAAGCTTTAGACCAGTATTAGCAAACAGATTCTAGTTAAAACTTGT